GTATCTATAACTCGCTCTTGCGCATGCGCGCAATTCACGAGTTAAAAAGGAAGGAGTAATGAAAGAGGAAAACTTACCGATGTCAATTGACGTACTTTTCCATCGAAATTTGGCGTGTAATAATAAGAAAACACGCGCCACTCGAACATTTTTTCCAAGGTTCACCCTCCAGTTCCGCTGCCTACCGTTTTTGGCTTTAAAACATGTGCTTGCATCTCCGTCGATAGCAAAACGACTCGCTGCAGGGCCAAATGCCTTCTGCTTCTTTCCGATGATGTTTCCTGTACATCGAGAGTAAATGAGTAGGATACAAAAACCATGGCAGCAAATCACAGACCTCAGAGAGGTCTCTTCATTCAGCAAATGTCTTGAAAAGAGAACTAACATTTAATTGCGTGGTTTAATGGGTATAGGTCACCCAAAAATGAACTATTTATTCGATTAAACGCCGCCCTCGAATAACCACCACCTTCGAATAACCGCCGCATTTCAGAGCAGAAATATCATCAAACGTCGCCCTCGAATGAACGCCGCGTCATCACGCGCCGTTTATTCGAATAATAGACTCAAAAAGCACACAGCAGACTACTATGGCAATGATATACAGGTAGGTGGTTGATCACTATTAACCTGGGACTCCTTCGAGTGTTACATCGAAGAAAGTATATCCAGGTACATCCAGGTACATCCAGGCACCAGATGTCTGCTGGAACAAGCTGTTCAAGGCCGCTTGCACCGAAAAGTATGATGAATGGCTGAATGGAGTACCCCGGGAATTCCCAAAGAAACAGCTGCTGGAAATTTGAAAGCAACCTCGAGAAAGAAAAAATTGCTGTGGATTCTTGATTCTTTAGCAACCTACCCACAGAGGTAAACAAAACTCTCTCTTAAACTGCACGTTGAATCTTCCCGTGGACGGGTCGAAAGGCGATAAGGGTTCACTGCCTCAAGGAAGGAAAGCCCTTAAATGTACCAGTTCTGATGTTGAGGAAGCATATCCGACGTTACATCTTTTGAACTCGGATGATGGAGAGGACAGTGACATTGAGTGAACTTTATTCACTTTATGTATTGCATTAGTATTAACAAGCAAATTGTGAAACTGAAAACGATATAGAGAATGACAAGTACGAAAACATATTTTTGTCTTTTAAATGATAATGGGCAGTTACCATACTATTGTTTGCAAGAAATGAATTGGATTTTAAATAAAAGCCGCCCTCCAATTAAAGCAGCACTCATATCACGAAAAATTTAATAAACGCCGTGACGTTTAATCAAATAAATATGGTACAATGATAAACTTTTCGACATCCTACGTGTAAGATTCATGATTCGAGTCAGTTGAAGAGTTGCTAGTCTGTTTAAGTCAATGCAGTCGGTATGACCTAGGAAGCATAACTCGGTTGTGATTAGTTAGTTGGTCACTTCAACGTCGTTAATGATTAAGTGCATTATGTATGTAGTTGTTAACATCTGTTAGGAGGAATGCGTTCATTGGTTGATAAACCAGGCTTCCAAAGTCAGTTGTTGAAAGCAATTCGTGCTACCCTTAGCAACACTGAAGTGTTGTCAAAATCAGAGATGATCTGCTTCAATTGATTGCCATGGCCGTCGTTATTTAAAGCTTAAAAAAGAATATGTCAACTGTGGTTCTTACCATATGAGTAAGCGTACACTTCAACTTCACATAATCGCAGTACTGGGGCTTTAGTAGTTATCTTGACAGAATTTCCAAAGACATAGGGTTCCGAGCTACATTCATAGTTCGTCTCTTTGCCGTCAACGAGCAATTTCACAACAGCGCATTTCATGAAATGATTCCTGTCACCTTAACAAACAACAGTATTCCATAAAGAAAAGCAGGGAAAAAAGATGGCAGAGAAATTACGAAAAAGAGTTTCAACAGTTTGTACAAAATGAAATGCTAAATTAGAGAGTGAAGAACGATATACTTCAAAGTGATTGCCATTCGACAATTTTAGTTTAGAGTTTAATTATACCACCATCGTTCATATTTTTTTTTTCGTAACGGCTGTCAGCTAGGCATGTTCCTGTTAAAGATTATCCAATGCTGACATATCTGTTGGCCGCTTCAGAGACATATTTTCTTGATTAGCCAGTCCCACCTACTGACAATTTTATTCTTTTGCGTCTTGTGCCGGGATGTGCTTTACTCCCATCGTGTTTGCATTTAAATATTATCCTGAACCCAGGTGTTGTCATACCTACGAAAATGCCCACGTCTTTCAGGCCGGTGTTTCTTTTTTTAGTTTGCTTCTCTGCAGACTGAATTCGAACCAAAGACACAGGTTGTAAGTCACCAAGATACACAATCAGACAAGGTTTGTCTTCTGTGTGGGACCTGAAACACGTCCTAGGATTGCCATCCACTACAAACCGAGGAAAAGCCTCTTTGTGTTTACATTTCTCCTTTTCACATCCTTCAAGATTGTCGGTCGAGGAAGCAATCACTTTTTTCAGTAAGGCAAGATTCTGTTTGCTATGCCATATCTGTGGTGGCCGTCCTGGTGACAGAATTAGGCGAAGTCAATTACATCCTAGTGCAACTAATTTAGTTTTCCATTAAGTGTAGAAAACAAACCATGTTTACTTTAGTTTTGTTTGACTTTGCTCTTTGATTGGTCCAGAAAACTCGCGCCACGTTCTTAAGAATGTGTCTACGAGAGCAGCGGGCAGTCGTGCTACATGTCGTCTCACCGATTTCAATGAAACTTTGCCAGTTTAAAGGGTCTACCCCAAAACTTAAAAAGACAAAGTGGCTTCTGTTTTGGTTTTTTTCCGGGGGGAGATAGACCACCCCCCGGTTTTTCTAGGTTTTTCTCGGTTTTCACCAAGGAAATCGCCTCAAAATAGGTAAAATGTATGAAGCTCTCACTGCGATGGTATTTAACAAATTACTCTGAGAGTTTGCACACATATTATTACATCCTTAGTAAATATCCGACGCAAGTATCAGTCAATTTGATTTACGGCTTGTCAATCAACAGGGGGCAAATAAACGACTATGATTTTAGAGTTTTCGATTTATCCAAATATTTGACAACTTTGAGGTCAAATATCTCCCCTTGCCAGAAAGCTACAACACTAATCTTAATTCCCCTTTATAATCCATCATTTCATCTCTGAAAACCATCAAAAAAATCTTTGGGCACTACCGCATTTTTGTCTCTGGTGCCTTTAAAAATCTGCGACTGTCATAAGTTTCTTTCAACTCCACCTGTCACGCAATTCTGGCCCTAGCCGGTCACTTGACCAAATAAACCTACATTTTTTTGCTCTTCATACAAGATGATTGATCAAGAAAGCTAAAAAATTCGAAAAAGTTTCGAGATTTTTCGTAGGAATGAAAAATTTCATGTTTAGAGAGATGCATGTAGGCGAAAAATCGATGGGAAAATTGTGGCGTTTCTTTCTTATGTCGTTTATTACTTTGGAGGTTGGCTAAAATCAGCAAATAGGGCTGTTGTACAGAACAGAACATTGGTTAGTCTGTAATTTTATTGTTTATCATCATTATAGAACTGCTTGACAGGTGTCGTAGATTTTAAAATGGCATCCAAGACAAAAATACGACAGTACCCAAAGATTTTTCTGATGGTGTTCAAAGATGAAATGATGGATTATAAAGGGGAATTAAGATTAGTGTTGTAGCTTTCTGACAAGGGGAGATATTTGACCTCAAAGTTGTCAAATATTTGGATGCATCGAAAGTCTAAAAGCACAGTCGTTTATTTGCCTCTGTTGATTGAAAAGCCTTAAATCAATTGACTGATACTTGTGTCAGACATTTACTAAGGATGTAATAATATTTGTGCAAACCCTCAGAGTAATTAGTTAAATACCATCGCAGTGAGAGCTTCGTACATTTTACCTATTTTGAAGCGATTTCCTTGGAGA